TGGGGCAGAGGAGGGTGGACAAGCTGCACAGGGAGAGAGGAGTGCTCAGGAGGAAACCGCTCTGGATCCTCCCTGCATTCCTCGGAGGTGACAGAGAGCTGGCAAGCAGCAGGCTGGGTTCCAGGAACCGCTCGCCGAGCGAACGAACCCCCCTGTTTCCCCTCCTCCTCTTTCCGCACAGCCAGCGGCTGCTCGGGGTCCTCTCGGGGGGACACAGAGCAGGGGGTGCTCTGCTGTCTGCCATACCAAATAACCCCAAGACTTATCACACCTTGCCTGGATGGCGCTCAGGATGGAGCCAAGGACCACAGGCGAGGCCGGTGGTGGGGGCAGAGTGGGATCCGTGACGTGCGAGGAGAATGCCGCTGCAAGCCCCAGCCCTCCTGCGCACAGCTCTCCTGCTCAGTCCCTGTACCGCGTTTAACTCAGACCTGGTGGTGCTGGGGCGTGCTGTGTGGGGTTCCCCTGCGGAGAAGTGGCTGTCGGAGCTGTTTACGTCTTAGGTGACATCCTGCCATTGGTACAGACTGTGTTTGTGGCTGTTTCCACAGCAGGAGAGGGGGTAATTTGGGGAGATGGTTACTTCTGGTTTACTGAACTGTTTCCATAAAGGAAGCAGCTCCCACCTTCAGGTGGAATATCAACACCCCGATTGACCTGTTCCTGTTGGGGGAAGGAAAATAAGGGAGAGGAATAGCAGGACAGTGTGGGATTTCTGCCTTGAAAGGGTAGGCTGCATCCCTCACCGACAGCGGCGTGCTCTGTGCTACGGGCTGGGCTTTGCTCCTCTTCCCTCCCCGCTCATTTTCTCCACTGCTTTATACATCGGGACTGCGTAGTTTAGGCAATTTCCTGCAGTGTTTGTCTGCCTGGTAGTTTTAAATCCAAGGTGTGGCCTTGGATCCCCCCTTCCAGCGTATTTGGTAATCTGCTGAAGCGCACGTCTCCTCTGCTTCAGCTTTCAGTGTTTCCCCCGTGGCATGAAAACTTTTCTTTAGGGTGCCGTGGCTTGGCACCCTTCCCAAGGGGCTCCCTTTGCCAAACCGTTTTCCCATGGCGTGAGGGCTACTTCTGGGAACTTGTGAGCAGCTCCAAAGTCCAGTCCCGCAGCCCTGCCCCTGCTCTCCGCCATCAGTTTGCTTTTCTGCAGCTCGCAGGACGGGGAAAGCCTGGCCATCTCTCGCTGAGCGCCTACGCGTTGCGGTCCCTGCTCCCGGGTTCCTGCTTTCCCGCACAGGGTGGTGTTCGCAGGCGGCTCCCACCTCCTCCGAGCTCTGTCTGGACACGTCACCTCTATCACTTGGTTTCCAACCAGGGCTTGGGCGTCGCTGGGCAGTTGTGACGCTTCCGTTTTCCCACCTGACACCTTCAGCTTTTGCTGCTGTTCTTGCTTCTCCCAGGCTGTTTTTGGGCCAGTACTGCCTCCAGCTGTAAGCCTGGGTGTCTTTGCCCCATCTCAAACGAATTCTGACAAGTGGAGGTGCCAGGAGAAGGAACCTCCCTTCTCTAACTTGGCAACAGCCTCACAGTCCCTGGAGCGGCATCTCTTCCACCATCGATCTCCGCAGGGCTTTCATTTTGTGGCAGCAACGCCAACGCGCCTTGTGTAGTCGGCAGGGTCCAAAGAGCTCTGCGCGTCGTAGGAGCGGACCTTTCGCACGGCCTCGCTTTTCTCTCGGACGTAATGAGCCCCCCTTTCTCCTTCCGTCTCACTGTTTACCTGCGCTGGGTAAACGGTTTCTCATCCGAAACACGTCACAGCTCTTTCAGCTTGTCACGGACCGTTTGCAGGTGTTACAGTCCCTGTTCCAGAGATTTCCCGTGCGCCCTGGGATCATACAGGCAGACTGACAGAGGCAAAATACGTAATATTTTCTGCTGGGCACGGAGAAGTTGCAAACCACAGCTTTTAACTTCTGCAAACCCAACCCTGCTCTGCCGTGTTCTTTGGATCTGTGCTTGGGATCGCTTGCCTAATACCTGCTTTTAGGATTTAGGGCGAAAGCCAGAGCAAACCTACTTCTGCGGCATTTAGGTCATCATCCCGTTGTGTAATTAATAAATTCCTTTTAACTGACTTCACGTAGATTTTAGGAACGCACGTGCAGTTTGTTGTGGCGCTGGATTGGACCAGAATTAAGGGTTAAGGTCAAGGGTTGATCGATTAGTTTTTAGTTACGCACTACTTCGGTGGACTCGTCCTCCTTTGCGGTGGGTTTGAGGCCAGGTAGCCCTCGGAGAGCCTGGGCGAGCTGAACCTACATCTCTTTCTAAACAAAAAGTCACTTAGTTCTCTTGATACAGCACTGCGCCGGAAAAGATCTGTGAGAAACACCGAAAGATCGGTCTTCCCTTCCTTCTTCTGTAATGGCGTTTTTTAGGTTGACTAATTCAAGTTTTAGCAGGTAGGAGTCTCCTCCTTCCTTTCTGCCTTTTGGGTGGACTCAGCAAATGCGCAGGCGTCTGCGTCTCTTAGAGATCCGTATTTGAACAATTTAGTTTCCTCTGAGATCACAAAGCAAGGACCAGCCGTTCCCGGTCCGTTTTCTGCTGGAAGCTGTCCTCTAGTTTCTACACGCTGTTGAAGTTTCCTGTCCCTACAGGGACCGTATGGGTTTTTTTTTTTTCCCTTCCTGTGATCCAGGTGCCCACAACTTATTCACAGCCCCAGGAATTTGAATCATCTGAATCATCTAATTTTTTCCTACTCTTGTTCTTAAGAAAAGAGACCAGAAAGGTAGGTTAAGGAGGGAGACCGAGCCTTTAGGATGCCGCGAGCCCATGGCAAGCTGTTTGGGTTCTCACTACTCGAGAGCTTGTCAGTGTTTTACCAGCGATTGCTGCACGCAGAGAGCAGCTCTGTGCCCTGGTGACTTCTCCAAAGCCGTCCCCGCAGATCCACCCTGCTGGCAGCCTCCACGCAGGGGAAGTTTTTGGGCTTTGTTAGTGCTTCCTCCTGTCCTGCCTCAGAGAAAGCCAGTCCAGTGGTTAGTGCTGCACAGGAGAGACCCAGCTCTGCTCCTGCGTCTGGGCATGACGCTTTCTGTTGGGACGATTGCTTTGTCAGCACTTTATTTCATGTCTTTTTGAACCTATACAGAATAGTTTATGCCGGTGCCTGTGGATTTATGGGTAACGTTCTATGCTAAGTATAATCTTACACGGCAAAAAAATACAACTAAATGATATCCCGTGTTCTCCTCCTCTTGCACACACAAAATTAGGTCCCTTAGCATAGGATCATAGAACCCTTTAGGTCTTGGAAAAGACCTTTAAGATCATCGAGTCCACTCGTAACCGTTGCTAGAAGGTTTTGTTCCTCAGAAGAGCTTCCTGCTATAGTTTGTGATGATCAATAGCCCAGTGAGAGTTTCTTCCAGCTTCTATCAATCAGCACCGTTCAAACCTGTTTAACAGCTCTATTTCCTTACGCAGTGAGTATAGCTGTCATGTCAGATCATATTTGTATCTCGTGCCTGTGAATAAGTGGAAAATTTCATCTCTGTTCAGTCATTTTCCTGGCAGAAAGCTGCAGAGTAGGAGTCCTTCAACTATTTCTCTTTTTCTGCTGTTCTGGGCTGTATCTTGGAGCTTGGCTCCTTCTCAGCCATTGCCATGGCTCGATGAGATGGGGACAGCACAGGAGGGATCTGAACCAGTTCTGCAGTTCCTAAATAACTTTTCTGCCTTCTAAGAGACCTGTACAGGGAATTTTGTTCTGTGAACGGCAGCGGATTTCCCATCCCCAGGCGGGCGTGGGGAAGGGGAGCAGCCCTGCAGCAGCCCTCTCTGCCAGGAGAAGAGCAAAGGGAAGCCGGGCTCATCTGAACTTACCCGGGTTTAGTTTTGGCACAGATTTCCTAGAATTCAGCTGGATTGAGGAAACGGAGGAAAGGGGAAGGAAGGGAAGGTCCCTGCATGGATTCAAGTGGAGATGCGTGTGTCTCTGTCTTGGCTTGCTGGGCTTGTGTCTCGGGCTTTGCTTATGTGGGCTGAGGAATCTGTGTTGGTTGAAGGAGACCGAAGTCTGTGGATTAGTTTTATTGATAATATGCTTCTTCTTGGCCTTTTACACTGCTTTTGTGGTTTCAGCCTCACAGAACCTTCAAAAGGGTTAGGTGGTTTCCAGCGGCGGTGCCGAAGAGGCCTGGAACCAGGCAGTTCCCTAATTTACTCCTGGGAGCAGGAGTAATTCATCTCCCTGACAGCATGCTCTGATAAATGCCAGCAGGCTCCCTCCTCCCTCTCCCCATTTGTTTACAGCTTGAGGTAAGGCAGCTGGCGAAGGGCAGTGCAGCGCTCGACAGAAACGTTTCCATGCTGAGGCCAGACCCTCTCTGCTCTGACCCTGGGAACCGGGCTGGTGCCCTTCTCTTCCCATCGAGCAAACTGGTGCTCTCCATGCACTCTCCTCTGAAGCTCAGGTCTGCGGGCTAAACCTGAGCTTTCAGGCTTGCACTCCTTGGTTGGAAGACATGTCCTTATAAACGGCACCAAACCTGACCTTGCTGCAGATCCTGGATCTCACCAGAGGGACGGAGACCAGTGTGACCAGTGTGACCAGTGGTCCACTCCTGATGGATGTGTTTTGGGTTAGGTGACACAGCATGTTGGACCTGTTGGCCAGCTTGGCCGATCCCATGGTGATGGATCACTGAGGTCTTGCCCTCTTGTGCCGTGAGTGTATTTATCTCAGGCAGCTGAAGGGACCACGTACGATGCTGAGCCCTGGACGCACCGGTGGGGTTGTGTCAGTCTAACGTGGACTGGGTGAGATGGCAGCGTCATGCTGCTCAGCTGTAGGTTCTTATCCTCCATCCTAGTGTTTTTATCTGGAAAAGAAACAAAGCATGGACTGCATGGAATTAGTGAGCCATCCTTGAATTAGGGGGTCTCCAGACGTTGTGTCTTCTTAGGAGTGGTTGAGATGTTGGGGAACCTGGAAGGAAGGAGGAGAGGAATGGGGAAGATTTTTCTTCTGGAGAGGAAACAGTTGAGACATGGGAGCATCCCTCTGACAATCCTGCTCTCGTCCACAGACCCCCGTACAGTTCCCTTGTTATCACATTTCTCCTTGCAGCGCCTTTCCCTTTGCTGTGCACTTTGATGCGGAGGGCGGGGGTGCTCCTTGCTCCTCTAAGTGTGGATGCCAGACGTGGCTGTGGGGAGTTTCTAACCTCTCACCCTCGCTCAGATCAGGAGAAACCTCCTCTCCTCTGATCCTGGCCGCCTAAGTCCTGCCTTAATCTGCTTTTGTCAGTGAGGGCATTTTGGCTAAAATAATCCATTTGACCCCAGACCTTTTATTCCTGACGCTTTGCCCTCTGACTCCTGCACTCTCCCTGGGAAAAGCCAGGATGGTTTTGGCTACCCCTGGGCTGTAGGCTTCTCAGCAGCTGGTGTCATCCCTAATCCCAGGAACCGCTTCTGCCTCGGGGTCACCTGCCCTTCCTTCTCCTACCACCCCATTGATGGCAGCCATCCGTCCCAAGAGCACGTCTCAGGAGGGGCACGCTGCCCGAGGGCTGGGTCCGCAGCAGGGGTTGGTGACTCTGAGGTCTCTGTGGGTTAAGATGGAAGGGAGGATTTTTATTTTATAAGTGTCACCCTCAGGTGGTGATGTCCCCGTACCACGTGGCAGTGGGGGGGGGTGTGTGTGTCGTTTGCTGCTTCCTAGTGGGATTTACAACGTGAGAGTGGGGGGGAAAAAAAAAAAAGCACGGGAATAGGAGATTCAGGGAGCAGCCCGTCCTGCAAGGGGGGTGATCTGAGAGCAGCTCCTTGGCTCAGCCAGAAGTGATGGGCTGAAGGCAGAGGGAGATCCCTGCCCCTCCGATACCTGGAAAGCAGCTTCTTGCCTCCGATCTAACCCAGCACGGGGATCCTGCTTCGGGGGGATGCACCGGCCACAGCCACCGGGAAAACTCAGAGAAAAGGAGCCTCTGAGAAGGGGGCTCTGGAGGGACCAGAGGAAGGGGAGCCTGACTGCCTCCCTTCTCTCAACACGTATGTTTAGCAGCCATCGGTTTGAATGACGTTAACCAGAGCGTGTTTTGGAAGCAGCCGTGGTTTGGAAGTTCAGTCAGTCCCTCCCTCTCTTCCGCGTTTTCTATTAAAAACCAGTGGGGAATGCTTTGGGGGTCCTGGGCAGAGGTGGGTCTCGGTGAAAGCAATTGGGAAGGGCACCAGCACCCCTGGGGTGAGCGTGGAGGGCGGTGATCGGGCCAGCCCAAGCCACGGCTCCCCAACGAGAAGAGCCAGATGGAGAATTCGGGGCTGAGGCTGGGAGGAGGGTGAGAGCACAGGGGAATTCCTCTCGTGCTTCTGGGCTAAGGTAGTGCTCTGCTCCCACCGTCTGGTTTGTGTTCGGGGCAGGGCAGCCCCGGGTCCCTCGGGTGCAAGAAATGAGTAGTAGTTGCTCATGGTCATCCCAGCATTATTCATGGCTGCCTGGAAGCACCTGCAGGTTTCATCCACGTTAACCCTTCAAATGTGCGTGGGGGGAGAACGGCTGTCTTCCCAGAAGAAAGGAGGTGGCCAGCCCAGGGACACCGGGGAACAAGAGTGACCCTTCCATATTTCCTGCTTCCCGGAGACTGCTGCGGTCTGCCTCGCCCATCGCTGTCAGTCTGTCCACCTCCCCTCCCGTTGCTCTGGGCAGGATCTGTCCGTCTGTCTGTATTTAAGAACTGGAGATGGAAGTCAGAGCTGGTTTGCTCTTGTGGAAGAGCGCTCCGTAATTTTTAAGTCTGATGTCAAAGGCCGAGCTCCCCTTTACCTCATCCATAGTTCTTTAATTAAAAACAATGAGATTTTGGTGTTCTGCTAGAACCACTTGATGGGAAGGCATCTCCTTCCCCGCTGCGTAGGGCAGGCAGCGCCCCGGGGGCCCACCAGCCCAGGTCTGGGGTTTTGGATGATGAGAGAAAGGGGACTTGCTGCAAAGGCCACATATTTCCCTCATTCCCATGGTAACCAGCCCATTAAGGAGATGTAGATTAAACCTCCCCAGCTGGTGTGTGTTCATCGGGCAGCCAGGGCCCCCTCCTCCTCCTCCTCTGGACCTGCCCGCTGGAAGCTGGAAGCTTTTCCCAGCAGCCGGAGCAGGTGGTTGTGATTTCGGCAGGAATCCGACACGCAGGCGGTACTGCCTGGTAGCAGGGCCAGCGCAGGTAACATCAGGAATGCAACGGGTGAAGCAAGCGGAGGTGTGGGACCCTCCCTCCCAGGTCAAACCAAGCTGCTTGTCCCAGCGAGAAGCTCTCAAGGGTCTGCTCCGGGCTTTGGGCAGGCTGTGGAGCTTGGTATCTCCAGTGTGTTGAGCCAGGGCTAAGCAGCTGCGCTTTTTAGGAGCAGCACTCAGAAAGGAGACACTAGCCTGTTGTGGCTTGTATTATACTATGTTTATAGTATTAGTACTATAGTGTAGCATATAGAAGGGTGGTTGTCCCAGCATCTTCATCAAATCCTAGTCATAGGAACCATATTTCTTTCCAGTTGAAGACCCACCTAAAGCAAAACTTGCACCTTCGAGGAGATACGGACCTTCTCTGAACTCTCAGCCCTGCGCAGCAGGATGAGTTGCTGCGAGGGCTTGGGCAAGGTGTTGGGTTCACGTCAGGCAGCACCCGCCTGTGCTGGTCAGCCCTGTGGGCACCAAGACCAGCGTTGGTGCAGGGCAGGAGGGATGGCTTCAGAGGCTGTGTCTTTTGCCCCAACACAACTCTGCTTCCCCTCCCACGTGCCTGCTGTACCCCAGGATTATTTTGTGGCTGTATGTGTTGAGTAGAGGTGGCCTTCACAGTCTGCGTTGAGGTGGGGCTGTTCATGATGCAGTCTCCGTTTAAGTGTGGTGGGACATGGAGGTGAGCTCCGCCATCCCGGTGGGGTGGTTCCTGTGCATCCGCACCCCGGGACGTGGCCACGTACCATGCCGTAAGGACCCCTCATTGTGTCTGCTTCTGGGTGTGTGGCTCATCCTTCTCCCCGCAAGCGTGAGCCTCTCGAGGTGCGCGCAGGGCTCTGGTCTAACGCCTGCTGCCTTTTCCACAGCCCGATGCTCACGTACCGCGTCGATGCTGACAAGGGGTTCAACTTCTCAGTGGGTGACGATGCCTTTGTGTGCCAGAAGAAGAATCACTTCCAGGTCACGGTCTACATCGGCATGCTTGGAGATCCCAAGTATGTGAAGACCCCCGAGGGCCTGAAACCCTTAGAGTGCTTCTACCTGAAGCTGCACGGAGTGAAGGCAAGCGGGAGCTAAGGGCCAGCAGTGAATCCAGCAGGGAGAAGGGGTGCCGGGCAGGTGGCTGGGATCAGGCAACACCACATCTTCATGCACTAAGTCATAGAGGAGCGTGTAGGAGAGTGCTGAAGGCCAGAACAAGGCAGATCTTGAAATATGAGTCCTAAGATGGACTCAGTCACTGCCTGGGTGTCTTCAGGGCTGCTTCTCACTCACCTTTGACTCCAGAGGCACTTTGGGAAGATCCTTTCACCCTCAACCCCCTCTTGGACAATGACCACACTCAAGTTGGGTGTTGCAGGTTGTTGTACTGTGCCATAGGAGGCTGGGCAGACAGCTGGCCCGTGCAGAGGCTGGGGAGAAGGCGGTGGGAAGGGGAAGGTCTCAGCTTTCTGCTCTTTGTCACGTGCCCAAATCTTTCTCTCCAGCTAGAGGCCTTGAACCAGTCGATCAATATTGAGCAGTCGCAGTCCGACCGCAGCAAACGGCCCTTCAACCCCGTCACGTGAGTATTGCCCGGGGTGCGTTCGCGTGGGGAATAAGCAGTAGCAGGAGACGGTGGGGAAAGGGGCCGAGTCGGAGGTCTCAGGATAGTACTGCGGGTGTTGCACTCTCCATTTTTTTCCTCTGTTTCCCACAGCAAAGTTTTCCTCCCTTTACATCCCCTCCTCTGCTCTGTGCCCAGTTCATAGACCTGTCTTGGTGGAGCAGGCCAGGAGATGGCCATTCCCCAAAGAACCTCCTCTCCAGCGGTATCCTCACTCGCTCCTCTGTTTTCCTTTCCTCAGGGTCAACCTGCCTCCAGAGCAGGTCACCAAAGTCACCGTGGGGCGGCTGCACTTCAGCGAGACCACAGCCAACAACATGCGGAAGAAAGGCAAACCCAACCCAGACCAGAGGTGAGGAGCACAGATGTCTTCTCCTAAGCCGTTCTGAGCACTCAAGGCCTGTGGATGTGCCAGTCCCTGGGTTGGGAAGCGTGGCTGGAGGGAGGGGGACATGGGGGGGGCAGGTCCTGAATTGGCCGTCCTTGTCTGCGTGGAGGAAAGGAGGAGTCTGCTGTGGCCACAAGAAGGGTCTCCCCCACTCTCTGAGGGGTTGGGGACAGTGCCTGTGCCCCACAGCACAAGGAGAAGGGACGTACCAAGCCCACCATGACAGCTTGGTGCCTCAGCCTCCGAGGGGAAGCAGACTCAGCGCAGGATGGCACCCTGATCTCTCTCCCCTCTTGGCAGGTATTTCATGCTGGTGGTAGCCTTGCAGGCACACGCGCAGAACCAGAACTACACGCTCGCAGCCCACATCTCCGAGCGCATCATTGTCAGAGTAAGTCCCTTTCTTCTCCCTCGGCCTGTGCAGGTGCCCCACAGTCCTTTGCTGGATGCCCTGGGCAATCCTGCCTTCCTCTGCCTTTTCAGTGCTTTCCCCACCTTCTCCAAACTCTCACTGCCTTGTTTCCAGCTATCCCCGTCTGTGCCAGGGTTCTGGCTCCAGCCTTCCCACACCTCCTTAGTCAGAGCAGCCTCAGGGCATGAACGAACCTGTTGCAGGACAGGGAAGGCATCCCCTTCTCCCAAGGCTGGACCAGCATCCAGGGTAGAGCTTTTGGAAGTGAGGGAACGGTGGTTTTGGGACTCTGCAGCAGGGACAAAGCCTCCAGGTGCAGGAAGACCGGGTAGCACCTTTTGCACGTGCTAAGGCAGCAGTGCTCAAATGCAGAGGAGCAGGAAGAGATAGGCACCATCCCCAGACTCTCCTGGGGCTTTGTTAGAGCACTCAACTGTGGAACACGAGGGCAGGGCGTAAAACACAAACAGAGGGACCTGAGTCTGCAGGCAAGTAAGTCCACGATGAATTATGCAGACTCCAGGGTGCCCAGTGCAGAACTGCAGGTCACGGAACCACAGCAGCAGGGCAGAACCCTGGGATTTGGGACCCAGGAGCAACACCCGTGTCACTTGTGGTCTCCTCCTGCTGTCCTGTGTGGTTCTGGTTGGGGTTGTTGGAACAGCTCTGAAAGCTGAGATAACGGACAGCTCAGGAAAGCAAGGATATTCCTCCAGGGAGAGGAGCAGAGCAGACATAGCCTCAGTTCCTGTGGAGAGAGGCTTAGACAGGGCCGGGAGAGGAATGCCAAGGCTGCCTCTGCTGTAAGGGCAGGCTGGGATCTGTTCCCAGGGCTGGCAGTGGATCCCCGCCGCTTCGCCTTGTGCTGCTGCGAAGCTCTGTCTCGCACCTCCGTGGCCTTGCTTGTCCTGCGCCGGCTCTGCCCTGCCTGTCCAGCTCCCTGCTGTCCCTCCTGCGAGGCTGGGGCTGCCACGGCTCAGCCCCGAGGTCTTCCCGAGGCTGTAATTCAGTGCGCTGCAGACTGGAGAGGGCATCCGCACCAGGATCTTCTCACCTGGACTGTTCATCCCAAAAGCCCCCCTCCCACTTCTCAGGCTACCGAGATGAACGTGCCCCAGTTTCAGCTGAGATCTTCCCTGTCCCCGTTTCCCTTCTGTGGAGCAAGGACAGCGCTGCGCCATCAGGGTGCTTCTGCTTATGCCAAGCTTTGTTTCGTAGCTGTTTCCCACTCAAACTAACGGGCACGGTGCTGCAGTATGGTGCCTGGCACTGTCCAGGCCACCGCAGCAGCTTGGGGCTGTCTGACGTCCATCTGTTGCTCGTGGCATCTCCTGCTATATAGTCCCTCTGATGCCTGCGTGGAGCGATGGGTCTGTGGGGCTCTCCCGACATCCTCGCTCTGTCTACATCTCATAGAATCTTTAAGGGTTGGAAAAGACCTCTAAGATCATCAAGTCCAACCATCAAGTGCCTCTGCTCAGCAGTGCCACGTTTGTCTCCTTGGTTTTGCTACTGCTGCTTTTCAGTCCCCACTTTCCCGTCTCTCCAGGCCTCCAACCCTGGCCAGTTTGAGAGCGACAGCGATGTCCTCTGGCAGCGGGCACAGCTCCCTGATACTGTTTTTCACCACGGCCGGGTTGGCATCAACACGGACCGCCCCGATGAAGCCCTCGTGGTCCATGGCAATGTGAAGGTCATGGGTTCGCTGATGCACCCTTCAGATGTCCGAGTGAAGGAGGACATCCAGGAGGTAAGAGCCAGGCAAACCAGGGTAGGTTTGGGGTGATGGGGGATCTGAAGAGGCACCGCAGAACGTGTGAGTGTCCCGGAGCCTGTTTCAGCTGCTGATTTTGACACAGTCCTTATGGGCACCCCGAGCTCCTGTTGACCAGACGGGAAGTGCCTTAGAAGTCTGTCCATCCCTGTCTGTCCCAAACACAGCCCGCCCACCGTGTCTTAGGCAATATTGACTCTTCCACGGTTAGCCAAAACTAGCAAATCCAGGTGTTACAAACCTGGAAAGAGGCAAGTACGTCAGATAGCACACCGGGGCTGGCTGAGAGGCTCGGCTCTGCTCGGAAGTCTTCTCAGCTGGATGTGCCTGTCCAGAAAAGCTAGGTACAGTCACATCTCATTTTATGAGAACTGCCTCTGCCCTGTGCTTGGTTGTGCAATGGGACTCCATATCCTCCTGGCTTCGCCACCCAAGGAGCTGGAGGTTTACCCCAGTGCAAATGCTGTTTGTCCTCACGACTGAGCTGAGCAGGGTTCGGGGCTGTCTCCTGAAGCGCTGTCTCGCAAAGGGATTACCGTGAGCCGTAGTGGGTGTTGCTGCTTGGGGCCAGAGTCATGGGAACTTAAGAAGCAGCACCCCGCTTAGGAGCTGCATGTGTCTGTTTTGTCCCAGGTGGACACCACAGAGCAGCTGAAGAGGATCTCCCGTATGCGGCTAGTACACTACAACTACAAGCCCGAATTTGCGGCCACGGTGGGCATTGACAACACCTCTGAGACAGGTACGCGCCCTACGTCACACCACGGCGACCCGTTTGCGTCTGCAGCGTTGGACCTCGCGTTCTGCAACCCACAGTGGCATTTTGTTTGTGGTGCCAAGCTTCTCCAAGTACCCACCTCTCTCCAGGGGTACACAGGGAGCCTGGGCACGGGTGCACGCTACAGCGGGGTGATGCCAATACCCCTGTCCACGTAATCTGGGAACCAGCCTTGTCTGAACAGCCTCTGTTCTGCTGTTGCTGAGCCTGTATGGGCTGGCCAGACCATGGGGCCTCCAACGAGCTCTGCCTGGCCCTGTACGGGCCGGGGTGAGGGCAGGACAGCCCTTGTGTCCTCTGCAGTGAACAGGGTTCCTGCCAACAACCGCATGGGCCAGAGAAAAAGCTGTAGCAGGAGGAACCCTGCCCAGACCACCTTGACCCACTGTGCTGTTTCCACGCAGGCGTCATTGCTCAAGAGGTAAAGGAGATCCTCCCCGAAGCTGTGAAGGACACTGGGGACCTGGTTTTTTCCAATGGGAAGACCCTTGAGAACTTCCTGGTGGTGAACAAGGTTGGTGGCAAGCAGGAGGGGCCAGGGAGCCTGGGGGAGGCTGTTGAACCTGGCTCAAGGGAGTGGTGGGGCTGGAAATGGAAGAAGGGGAAACTGTGATGCCTGGGAAATGCTTCTAGGCCAACACCACCCATATGAGTTTCAGACCTGGCTGGTCTTTCAGATGTCAGGAGCAGCCCTGGGTGGATGGCAGACATCAGCGGGGAGGAACTAGCCTGATGTTGGTGAAAGTTGGCAGCATCTCCCTCAGGAAGGGCTCCTTGTTGGCAGCTGCCTGTAGGGAGGCTCTTAGTCATAATCTCTCCCTTCTAGATAAGATAAGGTGGTTATGTCAGGATAACCCGGAGCACCCGGCTGCCTGACCTTTCTGTAACCTGCAGCAGCCCGTTTGCTGCTCTGGCTGTTGAGGGGACAGCCTCCCATAGCACACACCGAGGGGACAGCCCCCAG